CCCCAAAACCCCAAAACCCCAAAACCCCAAAACCCCAAAACCCCGACTATTCAAAATTGTATTGAATATTTATATAATAAGATAGTAAGGAAGACTAATCTTCCAAAAGAATTTACTTTTTGCCGCTAGTCGTCTTAGTCGTAGTCTTTTTAGTCGTTGTCTTTCCGCCAGTCTTGTAAGTCTTTTTAATCACTGTTGTGGGGCCTTCAGTTACAGTCCTAGTTGTCCCACCAGTCTTGAATGTCTTAGTCACTGTAGGTCCTGTTGTGAAAGTCTTTGTAGTTTTAGGGCCAGTTGTGAAAGTCTTTCGGACAGTGGTAGTCTTGGTTCCATCTCCACCAGTCATGACCTTCTTCTCCTCCTTAGCCAAAGTTTTAGAACCAGATAGCTTTGAAGTACGGACGCCTTCAGAGGTTTCGAATTCAGGAATTGAGCCTGTCTTAGTTTCTGTTTTTGTAGTTTTTCCATCAGCTGTTTTTGTAGTTGTAATTACTTTCCCTCCTTTACTTGTAGAAGTTACAACAGTAGTCTTTTTGAAAGAACTTCCCATTCCTCCTTCTGCTTCAGAAATTTGTTGCTTATTCATTGCCTCGATTTCTTCAGGGGTGTAATCTCCTTCGTAAGTTACTTTATAAGAAGAGCTTTCTCTCATCTCCTTTGGTATTTCAGATCCTTCATAACGAATTTCAAATTCTCCCTCACCAGATGTAGTTGGTTCCTTTTTACTTTCTTCCAATCTAGAAATCTGTCCTTCTGCCTTCTTGAGATCTCTCTGCTCAGCATACCGAGAAATTCCAGTAATTTTAGAAGTTTTGGTTGTTGTCTGAGAGCCAGTTACTACCTCTCCTTCACCATCTCCAGATCCAATTGTTTTGATTTCCTTCCTAATAACATAGGATCCTCCTTCAGGAATTTCTTCTCCAGGGGTAACAGTTCTCACTTCTCTACTCACTCTTTCAGATCCTTCTCCTTCAATTTGTTCTCCAGATCTAATTGTTCGGATTTCTTTAGTAATAAGCTGAGAACCATCGCCTTCAAGCTCTTGACCTGAACCAGTAGTTTTGACTTCTCTTCTGATGACATAGGATCCTCCTTCGATTGGCTCACCTCCAGATCTGATTGTTCTAATCTCTCTTGTAATCATCTGAGATCCATCACCTTCTATCATTTCTCCAGAGCCAGTCCTTCTAATTTCTCTTGTGATTACTTCAGATCCATCACCTTCAACCTCTTCTCCAGATTTGAAAGTCTTTAATTCTCTCTTGATGAGGTACGATCCTTCTTCACCTTCAGGAATTTCTTCTCCAGATTTATAAGTTCTGACTTCTCTTCTAATAATCTGAGATTCATCACCTTCTATCATTTCTCCAGAGCCAGTTTTTCTAATTTCTCTTGTGATTACTTGAGATCCATCACCTTTAACTTCCTCGCCTGAGCTAGTTGTTTTGATCGTTCTTCGAACCACATAAGATCCACCTTCAGATCCTTCTTCACCAGATTTGATTGTTCGAACAATTTGAGATCCATCACCTTCAATTTCCTCTCCTGATGCAATATTCCTGATTTCTCTTCTGATCATGTAGCCTTCTTCGCCTTCAGGGATTTGACCTTCAGAGTCACCACTTCTGATGACTCTTCTGATGATATAGCGTCCACCTTCAGCTTGAGCATTTCCTTCAAGTTCAGAACCAGAGCCAGAAACAATATATTGTTTTTGGGTAAGTCCATCAGCAGTCCTTATAGATCTTCCTGTTCCTTCCATTGCACTACCAATTAGTTGACCTTCCTCACCATGGACTTCGATCGGGTTTCCATGTTCATCCTCGTGGATTACTCTGAGAACTCTTCTCGATTCGATAACTTTCTGCCCATCTTCGTCTTCATATTCATATTCTCTGATGACTTGGTAACCTTCTTGATCCTCAAATTGGTTTGCTGAAATAGACATTTCATATCCATATCCTGGAGCCCAATCGCTGACTCCAGTGTAGTTTCCTGGTCCTGGGACTTGGTTATCAATCTTCTTTTCTCTTGCCTCCTTGGTGAAAGTGATTCCTTTACCTTCTAGCTGTGGATCATAGTATTTGTAATGGCCTGGTCCTGGTTCATCTTCATTATCTTCTCCAATTTTAATCTCACGTTTTTCTCCACCAATGATGATTCCTTTGGATTTCTCAATCTTTTCTTCGTAGTCTCCTGGTCCTGGAGTCTCTTCGACTTTCTCTTCTCTCCTTTGGTAGATAGAGTAGCTTGGGCCCTCAACAATCATCGATTTTTCTTCATAATTTCCTGGTCCTGGCAAGTCTTCAGCCTCTTTTTCTTTAAGTCTTTGTCCAATGGTGACACCTCCTTTCTTCTCTTGAAGTTCTTCATAGTCACCAGGTCCTGGGGTCTGCTCAACTTTATCATCTCTTCTTTGGTAGATAGAGTATTTAGCCCCTTCGGTAATGAAAGATTTTTCTTCGTAGTTTCCTGGTCCAGGGAGATCCTCAGCTTCTCTTTCCTTAAGTTTTTCTCCAATAATCACTCCTTTAGATTTCTGTTTAAGATCTTCATAATCTCCTGGCCCTGGTGTCTGCTCAACTTTATCTTCTCTTCTTTGGTAGATGGAATAACTTGGGCCTTCGATAATATATGATTTATCAGCATAGTTTCCTGGCCCTGGTAGTTCTTCTGGTTGTTTTTCAAGTAATTTCTGACCAATGGTAATTCCTCCTTTCTTTTCTTTAAGGTCCTCATAATCACCAGGTCCTGGTGTTTGCTCAATTTTATCACCTCTTCTTTGGTAGATTGAATATTTAACTCCTTCAGTAATGAATGATTTTCCCTCATAATTTCCTGGTCCTGGAAGATCTTCAGCTTCCTTCTCCTTAAGCTTTTGACCAATAGTGACTCCTTCCTTCTTCTCAACAATTTCTTCGTAGTCTCCTGGTCCTGGTGTTTGCTCTATCTTTTCACCTCTCTTTTGGTAAATCGAGTATTTAGCTCCTTCGGTTATGAATGATTTTTCTTCATAATTTCCTGGTCCTGGTAAGTCTTCTCCTTCTTTCTCCTTAAGTCTTTGTCCAATGGTGATTCCTCCCTTCTTTTCTTTAAGTTCTTCGTAATCACCGGGTCCTGGTGTTTGTTCTACCTTTTCTTCTCTTCTTTGATAGATTGAATATTTAGCTCCTTCGGTTATGAATGATTTTCCTTCGTAATTACCTGGCCCTGGAAGTTCTTCTAATTCTTTCTCGGTCAGTTTTTGCCCGATGGTAAAGCCATCGCGCTTTTCTACCTTTTCTTCGTAGTCTCCTGGTCCTGGAGTCTGCTCTACTTTGTCATCTCTTCTCTGATAGATTGAGTAGCTTGGGCCTTCAATGATGTAGGACTTCTCTTGGTAATTTCCTGGTCCTGGTAATTCTTCAGGAGCTTTCTCAGTCAATTTCTGAGAAATGGTGATTCCTTCCTTCTTCTCCTTGACATCTTCATAGTCACCTGGTCCAGGTGTTTGTTCAATCTTCTCTTCTCTCTTCTGGTAGATACTGTATTTAGCACCTTCAGTGATATAAGACTTCTCTTCGTAGTTACCTGGTCCTGGTAGATCTTCAATATCCTTATCTTTGAGTCTCTGACCAATAGTAACACCTTCCTTCTTTTCTTTGACTTCTTCATAATCTCCTGGTCCTGGAGTCTGCTCAATCTTAACTTCTCTCTTTTGATAGATAGAGTATTGAGGTCCTTCAACTATGTGGCTCTTTTCAACATATTGACCTGGTCCTGGAAGATCCTCTGGAGCTCTCTCCTCCAATTTCTGACCGATAGTAACACCTTTCTTTTTCTCAATGAGTTCTTCGTAGTCTCCTGGTCCTGGAGTCTGCTCTACTTTGTCATCTCTTCTCTGATAGATTGAGTAGCTTGGGCCTTCAATGATGTAGGACTTCTCTTGGTAATTTCCTGGTCCTGGTAATTCTTCAGGAGCTTTCTCAGTCAATTTCTGAGAAATGGTGATTCCTTCCTTCTTCTCCTTGACATCTTCATAGTCACCTGGTCCAGGTGTTTGTTCAATCTTCTCTTCCCGTTTTGTATAAATCGAATACTTTGGTCCTTCTTGCAAAGTTGTTTTGTATTCATAATTTCCGGGTCCAGGTGCATCTTCATGTTGCTTTTCAGCTAATCTTCCTGCAATAGTGATTCCTTGCTTTTTCTCCATCATCTGCTCGTAGTCTCCAGGTCCAGGTGTTTCTTCAATTTTAGCTTCTCTCTTTGCAGCAATACTATACATTAATCCTTCTTTTTGGAATTTGCTGTCATAATATCCTGGCCCAGGAAGTTCTTCTGATTGAGCATCTTCATGTCTTTTTCCCATTGTCCAGCCTGACTTAGTTTTGACCATGTATTCATAGTCGCCAGGTCCAGGTAGTGACTCATATTTTTCATCATACTTCTTCAAGATTGAATACTGAGGACCTTCGATAGCTTTTGACTTGTAATTGTACATGCCAGGCCCAGGTGCATCTTCGACTTTATTTTCTTTAGCTCTTCCACCCATAGTGAATCCTTTCCGATGACTATTCAGCATGTAAGGAGATTTTAGGAAGTTAGCCTTCTTCACTCTGACTGTAGCAGATTTATTAGAAGTAGGCCTGAAGTAGTAAGTAGTAGTTTCTCCTTCCCTATTGCTGGATTTAGTCATCTTCTTTTTCTTCATTGTGTTTGATTTTTTGACTTCTTCGCGGCTTACTTTAGCTGGATAACCTGCAAGGATTTCGTACCTAGTACTTCTTCCTTCGGTATCCATATATTGTATCTGTCTATCATCAAGAACATCATGACTGATTATTCCTTCATCTTGGTCAAGTTGTTCTTCAACGATTTCGTATTTTACTTTCTTTCGGGATCCGTCTTGGGTTATTTCCCACATTATAGGTTGCCCATGAAGTGGTTGTTCAAGCTCATATCTTACAAGGCCTTTACCAGCTCCATATTCAACAACATTTCCTCCAGTTGCTTCATATTCTAGTCGACCTTTAATGCTTTGGCCAACTTTTACGGATCCTCCTACTCTTTCTGGCTTGGACTGAGTATATTCATAAGAATCTTCTCCTCCTTTTCCACCTGCACGAGAGTATCTCATACCCTTAGATTCAGTAATTTTGACTCTCTGTCCATCAATGATTTGATACTCATCATCTCCTTCAATTTCACCTGAATATTGATATGAGTATTCTTGTGAACCAGAAAGTTCACCTGATTTCATCAAGTTTTCTCCAATAGATTCTGTAGTAAGAACTCTTCTTCCATCAATCATTTTATATCTGGCTCCTCCTAGATCTTCTTTGGTTCTTTCAATAGTCTCAGTGATAAGCACTCTCTTGCCATCAATTATTTCATATCGAGAGCTAGTTCCTTCACTTAGTCCTTTGTCACCAGAATATTCATAGATGATCTCTTTTCCTTCAGAGATTCCTTCTTGGCCTCCTTTTCTTCTCTCAATAGTTTCTGTGATGAGCACTCTTTTGCCATCAATAATTTCATAACGAGATGTAGTACCTTCGGAAAGGTCTTTTTCTGCAGAATATTGATAGGTTATTTCTCTTGGCTCAAAAGATTCTTCAGAGCCAATCATCCTACTCTCTGTGACGAAGACTTTCTTTCCATCGATGATTTCATATCTGCCTTCTCCTCCTTCTCCTCTTAGGCCTTTACTCTCTTCAATGGTTTCTGTTACCAAGACTCTCTTGCCATCGATAATTTCATAGCGAGAGGTTGTTCCTGTGGCAAGACCCTTAGTTCCAGAATATTCGTAAGTGACATCTTTTCCTCCAGAAGCTTCTTTAGACATGATCGTGCCTTTCTCAATCTTCTTCGAACCTTTGCCTCTCTTTCCTCCAGTGACTTCATATCTAGTCTCAGTTCTTGTTGATGTTCCAAAGCCTGGGCCTGATTTAGATTTGACAGTTCTTGCTTTTTGTAAGGAAGAAACCTTTACTCTTCTTCCATTGATTATCTCATACTGAGTTCCTCCGTGGGAGCTTCCTTCAACTCCACCTGAGTATTGGTAAGTGACTTCTCTAGTCCCAGTGAGACCTCCAGATTTTAGCGTTTTTGATCCTTTCATTGAACTGACTTTAACTCTTTTGCCATTTCTGACAATGTACTCCCCATCATTTTCTCCAGAGATTTCAATGCCAGTTCTCTTTGTGCCAGAGAAGCTTGAAGACATCACAGATCCTGATCCTTGAGACACAGTAGTGATGACTTGCTTCTTGCCATCCTTCCAAATAGTCTTCGTTGTAGTAGTGGGTCCTTGCATTGTTGACTTTGTAATTTTAGATGTAGTGACAGCAGTGCCTGGTCTTTTATGAACCCTAGAACTGATAGGACTTCCAGAAGCTGTAGTTTTCCTATACCTTTGTTCTTTGAGTACAAAGCCTCCTTTGTTTATCATCTTTTCCTCTTCTTCAAGTTGCATATCTACGTCTCTCTTCCATTCTTCTCTAACTTTCTTGTCTTCAATCCTTTTGGATTTCCCCATTGCTGATTTAGTAGGGGCAGTAAGTCTTGAGAATACATTGCCAGTTGTAGAACTGGTTGTTCTCTGCTCTCTTATCTTTCTCTTAGTACCTCCTGTAGTAATCACCTTTGTTGTTCTAACCTCTGATTTGACTATCTTGCCTTCTTCATGGCTACCTATATCTTTGGTTTTAAAAATTGGATATTAATCAAGAAATTTCTTAATATTCAAATTACGAAAGAATCTTGATGAATTTTATAAGAAAGATATAGAAATCTTAATTTACAAAGAGTTTGGGATAAAACCAAACTTATCTCTTCAGCTCTGCCGAATATGTGCAACTAAAAAGTAATATTCGTCCTTAGAAATAGTGTATTTGCTGAAAAATATTGAGGTAAGATACATCGCAAACCTAAATGATTCTTATTGAAAGAAGCCAAAGAATGGTAAAACTCTTTAGCCCTGAGGCTTTTCTCATTCCTAGATTAAGTTTTTTGTGGCCATTAGGTCAAATTGATTTTTCTTAATAGTGTTATTCCTTACCTGATGGAACTCGACCCTCCATTTATCCTGTGATAAATTCCAAAAATAAATTATAACTAAAACCAATTCAATAAACTCAAATAGTTGAGGGGTTTTGGGGTTTTGGGGTTTTGGGGTTTTGGGGTTTTGGGG